CCCTCAATTTGTGTTTATTTACCTGATTTCCATTCACTGGCATCAAAAGAGGAGGTTTTTAAATACTTTTTTTATTTAGTGTAATGAAAAATCCAGAAATAGCTATGCTTGTAATCTTAACACCTTGGATGTTTTTCACAATCTACAATAAAACCTTTTTTTATCATGTTTATGTCAATAAAACTTTACAAAAGCAGAAAATGATACAAGATATTGAAAAATAGGAATGATAGACTGGGAATTTATGTATTTAAAAAAGTTTTTGTGTCTAATAAATATTCTCAGAAGATGGATGAATCAGGTGCCTGTGGTATACAGTACCTTGCCCTTTAAAACAATGTCAAAATAACTCCCCTGGAATAGTCACCCTCAATCCCTTTTTGGTAGGACTGTCATGGTTCCATAATTTTTCGGGTCGAGCTGGTTCTAAATTTTTTAGGTTCGGTTTCAGGTTTATATAGAATAAAAACTAAGGATTTGAATTAGATTCAACAACTTTTTAATTATTTTTAAATCTAAGAAACAGCAACATAATGACTGGTTTAAAGAAGTTTCCTAACTAGAAAAATTAATTGAACCCAATCATTCAAATCACATTATTACAGTCTTTAATGGTAATATTCATCCATAAATTAATGCATCTCCTAAATAAAAAGAAAAATAATAATTTAATGAGATCACTAATTCCAATACCTAACTTTCTTGTATATTTTGTGGTGAAAAACATAAAATAAACACAAAACTGACACATTATATTGTAAATAAATTCTTTGTAAAAAAGAACCTCTTTTCAAAGGTCACCTCTCTATAAAGGTCACTTTTGATGGATCCCGTAGGTGACTGCTTAATACAAGTTTCACTGTATACTAATGAACCTTTCGATTAAGATGCCATTTTTATGGTAAAACCTACTCTATTGTACAAATTAGAACCGAACCGGATTCCGGGAAAACAGAACTGAACCTGACCCGAATTAATTGTTCCGTGGTTCTGGGTCATTTCGGGTACCCATGACAGCCCTACTTTTTGGGGAGGAACACCAGATCCCCTTCCCTGCTTTTTCAATTTTTAGGGACAACCCAGTACATATCATATAATTTTGTCATAGAACAGTTATTTTTAACATGATATACTTTGATAGAAGGAAAGAAATTCAAAGTTGTTATATGGTATTTGTTTGTTTGTTTGTTAAGTTTCACATAAATTTGTAACTATTACTTACATGTAGTTAACATGTATGAAATTGACTGGGAGAATTTGATTAGAATGAATTTTCTGTTAATTATGATTCTACAAAACAGTAGTCCTGAAAAATCATGTTTTTAAAATTCAAGTCATTATTTTTTAAATGCCAAACCTGACTGAATATCAATTGATTTGATCCTGACCAAAACTTGAGATTTTGTACCATATTGTGTCAATTTGCAAAAATACTGCAGTGAATCGATATTGCAGTGAACAGTTTCACTCCTGACCATATATTTACACCTCAAAGCACAAATATTGTGTAGCCTTTAATGAAAGATTTTATTCTCTGCAACATAAGGAAGTACTTGCAGTTGGACAGATATAAATTGTTATCTATAGGTGCATAAAGAACACTGCAGAGATTTCAGAATGTCAGTATGCTGGATCAGTTGGAAAGAAGTAATAATTTGACAAAATTTATTTCTTCTGTTATGACATATTAATAAATGTATGGTCATTGTTTTTCTAGGTCTTGATATCAAAGATTTGGGCCTTTCTGACTGGGATAAAAATATGAAATTTGTTCAATTTTGGGGGGAAAATTGTACGAGAACTTCTTATGCTATAGGGTATTTTGATATTTTTAAATTATTTTGCATTCAAAAAGAGTGATCTTTTATTTGTTGTATTGCAGGTTGCAGATCATGACACTCAGGATAAGGAGTTCAGATTTAAAAATTGATGCAATGAATGAATAGGTAAGTCAGTATTAAAAGGGGAAGAAATGCAAATACATGCACTTCAAGAGATTTTTCAATGAAATTCCCTATTTAAAATTCCTTGAAACTCATCAGTAGACTGTTTGTTTATATTGAATAATTTTTTATTTGAAATTGTAACTGTTCAAACAGTACTATTTAGATACTTGCTTAGAAGTTCTTGTGAATGTGCAGTGTTATCCTTGTTTTCCTTTTTCTGTAGGAATTCTTTCAGCTGTAATGATGGCTACAAACAGCCATGCTTCGGAGGCGTTCAAACAGTACGTACAGAAGGATCCCAAAGGGAGGACAATCTTAATTGTCCCTGAGGGGAAATACAAGGGATGGGTGCCCCGTATCATCTACAGCATGCACCTGGAGGACGTCACGCTACCTTTCCTAAGGCTCATGTCATTTCCTGTGGGCGGAACCTCCATTGGGAATCTGGTGGATATGAAGAATTTCAGTGCTGTTGGAAATTATCTATGCTTGTTACCCAAATCTTTTGGTACTTGCAAATCCATGGAAACCCTCAATCTGAGTTTCAATCACTTCCAGCAAATTCCAACAGCAGTCTTTAATTTGCAGTCACTCATCGAGTTAGATTGTAGTGACAATGAGCTTGAGGTCCTCTCTCCAGATATCGGAAAATTAAGAAATTTACGCACATTAAAACTAGGAGGGAACTTTCTGTCTGAAATTCCGAGTGAAATTAGTCAGTGTAAGAAGATAGAGTACCTGGTACTGTCAAGGAAATGGTATCCAAGAGAAGGAGGAATGAAAGAGTTACCAAAAGCTGCCTGTGGGTTAAAGGAGCTGCGATATCTGGATGTCAGTTGGCACCAGATCCATACAATTCCAGATGAAGTAGGCAATTTGACAAAACTGGAGTCTTTGAATATGAAAGGAAATTTCCTAAAATATGTTTCTTCAAATATTGTTAAATGCACGAGTTTGAGTGAATTAAACTTGACAGGGGCATTGAAACTGAATTCATACATTCCAGAGGAATTACTGCAGTTGTCTGAATTGAGGACATTAAACTTGAATAACAATTACTTTTCTGAGATTTCACCAAAGATAAAGGGTCTTAAAAAGCTCAGACATTTCATCATGAGGAGGAATGCACTAGTGAGTCTGCCAGACACTTTATTTGACTTGAAACATTTAGAAAGTATTGAAATTGGAGATAATTACCTTGAAGAACTTTCACCCTCTGTAAAGAAATTGAAAAAATTAAAAACGTTAGAACTGCGTGGTAACAAACTTACCAAACTCCCAGATGAGCTCTGTGATTGTGGTAGTCTTGAATCATTATTGCTGGCCTTCAATGAACTTGAAAGTCTACCAGACAATATTTATCTCTTAGCAAATCTGAAGGAACTGGATGTTTCTCATAATCAGTTGACCTCTATACCACTGCTGTTGGATAAATTGGAGATGCTTGCAAAAACAGGACTGATAGACTTAAGTGAAAACAACATTAAGGTCCCTCCTCAAGAAATTTGTGATCAGGGCGCTGATACTCTGTTTATCTTTTTGAGAGAATACAGAATTAGTCAGGCCAAACACAGAAGGAAAATGATTTTGCTTGGTGCAGCCAAAGCTGGAAAAACTAGTCTTCGAAATGCATTGATTCTAGGCCGTTCCAAATTAACAGCAGAGCATGAAAGGACCTGGGTACTGGAGCGCCACCTATGGGAACCGGAGCCAGATTTGAGAGTCCAGGTGTTAGACTTTGGTGGCCATCATATTTATTCTGCTGCACACCATATGTTCCTGACCTCAGAGGCTCTACATGTGTTAGTGTTTGATTTAAGTAAGTACAAACCAGAGCTCTATGATGCTATGGTGGGAAATTGGCTTGATGCCATAATGGACAGATCTCCTGGAGCAGTTATCGTTATGGTTGGAACTCATGTTGATCTTTGCAAGGCAGATGAAATCGATGAAATCTTGGAAGACATCTCGGATAAAATGAAAAATATAGAAGACAGAAAGATTCAAGAAATAAAAATTCATTTGGTTCGAACAGATGATGCTCTCAACTCACTGACCAATAAAGATACCGGTACAAAATTCGAGGACATTGAAATTCAAAGACTTAGAGAAAAGAGAAATGGCATCTATAAAATGTTGAAAACGAGATCACAATTGCCCAAGAAAATACATGTTGTTAGTTGTGCTGATGAACTTACAGGTGTTTTTGAGTTTAGGAACATGTTGATTGAAAAACTGAAAGAGGCAGGAGAGAGACCATTACCCACTCCGTGGTGGAGGTACCTGCAGAAGATTGCAAAATATCCTGAGAAAGTCTTGTCTTTCACAGAAGCCTTACGAATATTTAAGGATCTGATGAATGAAATGAACCAGAGTATGATTTCACTTGAAGGATCAGCCGTGTCAAGTTTGGAGATGGTGCTCAAGTATCTCCATGCAACAGGAGAGATTATGTGGTATGCTGATAACCCCAAATTGCAAGGCATTGTGTTTCATCATCCAGAAACCCTTGTGGAGATGTTGCGTGCAATATTTAAACATGATTTTGACAAAGTTGTGGTTTATGATGAAATTTTTGGAAAGATTGCTGGCTTGACTGAGAAGAAGTTTGATGCAATGAAGGAAGATTTTCTGTCAAAGGGGATCATGACACTGGAGTTGCTCCACTTCTGTCTCTACCACTTTAAAATTTCTGCAGAAGCTAGGGATATTTTTGTTGATCTCATGTTAAAATTTGATCTGTGTTATGAAATACCTAGTAGCTTACAAACAAATTACACATCTAGTCGGATTTTGAGATTTCCATGGTTCCTCAGAACAGAGGCGTCAAATGAAGTGTTTGTAAAGTGGCCCACTAGGACCCCCAGGAACATTGTGGAACTATCTTTTCAGTTTGTGTTCCCATCCAAATCTCCACCAAATTTCTTTGAAAAGCTCTCCTCTAGACTGCAGGCTCATGTGTCAAAACGAGAGGATTGGTCTAATGGGGTGCTAGCATTTAAGAACAAATCCAAAATTCTGGTGACGCGTGAGCAGAAAGATGCTGGGACAGAGATTCTGGTGGCAGTCAGGGGAAGTGATCTGCAGGAACTCTGGTATGTACTTTGTCTCGTCTGTTGGTAATTTAGATTAAAGTATAGTGTTTTAAGAAATACATGTACCATTGTATACTGGGAGACAAGTTTATTATCATGATTATCAAGAATTTTGCAAAATTTTAGAAAAATGGCACAAAAATAATACATACATGGTATAATCATTATAATGTTTATTTCATTCAGCAGAATTAACATGATTAAATATTAAAAATGAGCATATATATAAATAAAAGAATCATTCATTGTTATCAGGTACCTCCTCCTGAAAATCTACCATGATATGAAGTCCCTGCTACAAGAGTGGCCACTGGTTCATGTGGAGCAATACTTGCTGTGTTCCCACTGTATACTGAGGGGAGATAATGACCCATACCTCTACCCAGCAGAACTTTATCTGGAGACAGTCTGTCCCCAGAAATTGTACCAACTACAGTGCTGTCTGAAGAGCAAGGAAGTCTTCATTCCAGCATGTTTGGTTATCCCTCTTGATGCAGGTTTGCAAGAGATTTTGTACAATTTAATGCTGCTATACATTCTAAAAGCAAATTTTTCTTTGTCCCACATGAAAGAGTTACTATATCAGTATATTTGGGGCAATCCTCAATTTATCAAGTTTGGAAATGTAATTTTGAAAAATATATTTTAAAATGTTCCCAAAAATTAAACATTAAGAAAATGTAAAATTCTAGAAGACAAAAGAGTAGTTGAGGAGTATCAGAAGCTCATACTTTTCACAAATGCTCCTCAAAACCTCAAGTTCTCTCATGAAGGCTAGCCATGTTTTTGGTATGCGGTCAAGGTCACCTGATTTAGCAGTTTGTTGTTCCTCAGTTCTTGACATTTAGAGTCATAGGATTCTTGGTTTTTCATAGATTAACTAAGAAGTTGCTCAAAATCAGAGGATGTTGCAATTTTTTGCCAGTGATATATTTTGGTTTTTGATATGGGAAGTTAGTATAACTTAATAAATAAGATACATGTAGTAGAATTCTTAAGATATTTTAAAGTTCCACTTCAGTGTTTCTGCTAACTTTAAAAACCAAGGGACAATATGACCCTTTGAAGTATACTTTTGGGAGTCAAAACGATTTTTTTAGGGTGAAAATATTTTCTGGTTTTGCTTTCAGTTCGTATATTAGCCCTGCCTATTAAAATCATAATTTGATGTTTACAAATAAAAAAAATAGCAAAATATAATCGATATACTTCTTTTATTTACCGGTACACTGTCAAATGTTACCGAATACCCCATTAAGGTTTTGTGAATACTTCAATCAAAAGATAACAATTGAAAGTGGTTTGAATGCTTTGCAAAACTGTTTATTAATGATCTGAACTTTGCTCACCATTTTATTACCAGTATCAGCCTCTTTGACAAAGCCAAGCTGATATATATTTACATTTGCAAATGTTTTCCTTTATATAACACTAAGCAATGTGTATATATAACTGTATAAATACAGGTACGGGGTCAAGAGGTCACAGATGTGCGTATGGATAAACGTTCGACATAATTTCTCAGTGACGTCATAAAGCGTTCAGTGGATTACATACATGCCGAAAAATAATGCATTTCACACGTTAAAAGTCACAATCAGGCAAATTAAAAGTATGAATAAGTCACAAATGTAAATATAAGTAATAAGGTATCATTTTAAAACTATCGGGCTATAAATACGGGTTGGTACGAGATTAAATTCATCATAAATATTTATGGAATTTAATCTTGTGACCAACCCATATTTATATCCCGATAGATGTTTAAAAACGATATCTTATTTCTGAATTTCCGGTTTTGTTAAGAATTAGTTAGGTCGTACAAAAGAATGTACAGTAAAACTCGTTTAGTACGAACACAGATATAGCGAATTCACGGTTATAGCGAAGTTTTTCTGGGTCCCCGGCAAAATTCTTAACAAATGTTTGTGTAAAATTTTACGGTTATAACGAACTCTGATATAATGAATTTACGGATATAGCAAACTGATTTTGAGTCCCGTTGAGGTTAAAGATAATGAAATTTACATCTTTTGTAACGAACATTCAAAGGTTCTTAAAAAAATGATAAATTGAACTTACTATATTTCCTTTTAGCATTTGTATATAAAATTCAATTCATAAGAAAACCTTAGTTATCGAAGATATGTCTTGTAATATTTGCTTCACTAACATATTTGGTAGTAATACTTGAAGAAAAACATGCATAGTGCGAATTCGCTACAATGGTTATACGAATTCGTTATACGGATATAACGAATTACAAATATAGCGAATTAAATTCACAGGTCCCCAGGACTTCGCTATAACCGAGTTTTACTGTAATAGATTGTTGACATGTCGATTTTAACCACTACTACTTTGAAATTAAACTAAAAGCAATGATTAATTCCTAGAAATTAAACATGTAAAATTTCTTCTTCTACGAAGGCATCAATATTGAACTGGATTTTTAAAATTCATTTTCATATTTTTTTTCTGCGTCGTGATGACCCTTTATTTAAACAATAAAATGCTTTCTTTGTTTGTTATTACTGGAATTAACGGAAGCAGCTGTTGCAGAAAAAATACATAACCCGCGTCGTAAGCGGGTTATGTAAATTTTTTCTGCAATAGCTGCGGCCGTTAATTCCAGTAATAACAAACAAAGAAAGACATTTTATTGTTTATATTTATATCTGTTTAAATTATCATTTAAAGTAGGATTAAAAAGATTAATAATTGTATTAATGATGCGAACGTCTTTATACGTTTCATTGATGGAACAGCCACTGATCAAGAAATCTATACAGGCGACACGCCTAATGTAGTTCATGCAGTGATTAACGCAATGGGTTTTCTTAAGAAGTAAAGGAGAAAATTTTCAGTGGATGTAAATATATGATGTAAAGTATCTTTTATGCCAAAAATTTGCAGAAATAAGCGTTAACGGAAATACGTACTGCTTGTTTCATTGCCACAAATTGTATTAACTGTACTACAATATAGGAATGAGAACAGTTTTAATTATAAAACAAAATTCAGGTTGTTTGGAAATAGACCAACACCAAGGTAATGTAATTACGTGCATTTGCAATCAATAACAAGTTAACAGGGGTGGTTTGCAATAAAATTATTCTGTTTCATCATGGTTGTTTATTTTCACAGTTTCAAAAAATACATTTCATTACATACTCTACACTTGGTGGGCATAGACACTTCAGGCATGACTAATGTAACTCTAAAAGATTCCTAGCTGTTTGTTTTTTTTGCAACTCTTTAATTGAATTGTATATACACAAAATATAGATTTCGACCCACTGCACACTTTAGAGAATCAAGACTGACAATTACCAAGTTTCTTTTTGTGTGCATTTTTTGATCATGCATTTTTAAAAAACAAATCCATGAAAAAAATGAATAATTTTCCTGCTTATATTTGTCAAAATATAAGATTTTATCTTGGCCCCATCCAGTTTGAAATAAGGTTTGACTGTAGTTTGATATTCCCTCTGCACCTATGTATGTAAATGAGTAATACCTGAAAGTCACCAGTGAGAATCACAAAATAAGCAAAGCAGTTGAAATTTTTATCATGTTTATTGTACCATGCACACAGGATAATAAAGCTTTGAACTAGTGAGAAGAAGACAATAATTTAATAGTACTAGTATTCTAAATATCAATTGCCATTTTGCTCAGCTAAATATGACTTTTGCCACTTCTTTTTCCTCTTTTTAATATTTTCTGGGTCTCTTGCAATTCTTTTATTGTTTATTTTCCTAGCAAGGTCTGCAACATAGGACTCTGAAGTTTGTTTGTCTATATCAGCTGTGTTTTTATATACTTTTTCTTTTAAACTTTTCCAGTAGTTTCCCATACTACCAGTATTTTGTGTACTTTCGTGATTTTCCTCAGGTTTTTGTTTATTTTGTTGTCTACTAAAAGTCTTTCTCCATTTATTTGCGAATTTTCTCCTATTTTTTCGTCTAACTGTCATACTTTCTGTTGTTATCTCAATAGTCTTTGGAGTAGTGGAATCTTTTATGATTGGAGCCCTTGTGGTAGGGACCTTTTGTATCTTGTCGTTAACTCTGAATTGTTTTGGGTTTAGTTTTGTTGACATTTGTTGCCAGAATGCACTAGTCCTGTCTGGATTTTGCTGGAAACTGCTTATTCTACCTCTGCCCTTTTTGCTATGTGGATTTCGAAATGTTGCAGCATTTTCCCACACGTTTTTGTTTCCATTGTTAGATATGGACACTAAGTTTTGTGTATTCCTATTTTCACTGTTTCCCTTCGCTGACACTGAAATTGGAGCTGGTGTTGCCCTGGCTCTCCACTTCTTTCTTGCTTCTAATCCTCCAAATTTATTTCTTTGAAGACTGGGAAAATAGTTTTCTAAATCTACTACATGAAATCTTTCCTTTGGATTAATTTTCTTTACTTCCTCAATTTCCTTTTTGTCTTGTAAAACTTTTTTGAACTGATCTTTTCTTTTCTCAATCCACTTCAGTACCTTATTAATGTTGGGAGCTTTGAGGTCTTCCCCATATTTACTTTGTCGATTCTTTCTATTCTTTAAGTACTCCGATCTGTATTTTTCCAAAACTGAATATATTCCCTTCTTTGTCCCAAATTTCCTTCTTTGTGTTTTGTTTGGTTTTGTTGTTGAAGTCTTGTTGGAAGATGGCACAACATACTGATTCTCATAAATATGGCCAATTGCTAGATTTTTATTGACATTTGGTGTTGTTTGAGTGGTAACTTGTTCTGCAATATTTGTAGAAATCTCCACTGGTGTTTGAGTTGTTGTAGAGATTTCTTCATTTGAAAGTGTTGTTATCCTATCCAAAATGTCTACTGATTTTGCTGTGCCTATGGCCTCTGTTGTAATTGTCATTGTTGTTGTGGGTTTGGAAGTAGTTTTTGTTGGTACAGTCTCTGTTATTGTTGTTGTACCCTCTGTGGTACCTCTGCTTGTGATTGTAGGTGTTGTAGGTGGTATTGTTTCAGTTGGTACCGATTTTGTTGTAGTTACTACTTCCTGTGTTTCAGCTTTTGTTGTTGTTGATGTGACAGCTTCTGTTGTTGTTGTTGTAACCGTTGTTGTGTCCTGAGCTGGAGGCTGGGTAATTGGCTGTGAACTAGTACCAGAGGTAAGAGACTGAACATCCACTGTACCATGTTCAAGAGCATGGTCCTCAGCAATAATCAGTTCTCCTGTGTGAGAGTCAAAAACATGAGCCCCAAATATTGGACTCTGTATAACTTCCAGATGTTCACCAGTGTGGGGATCTACTATATGTGTAATCTCATTTGTGTCTGGGTCTCGAATAACTCCATTAATGACTTTATTCTGTGAATTACCTTCATTTTGACCAGTCTGATCTTGATGGTTGTTTCCTGATGGATCAGTATTGTGATTTTCTGTGGTAGTATCAACAGATAGTATGGTCACTGTGGTAGTCTGGGGAGCAGGTGCTAGTGTTGTTTGTGTCAGGGTTGGCAGTTCTGAGAGGAGAATCAGTTCTCCAGTGTGGGGATCAATTATATGCCCACCAGTTATTTCACTCTGGATAACCTCTAAAAGTTCTCCATCATGAATATCAAGAACATGAGTGATAGCACCAGATACTGGATCACGTACCATGCCATTCTCTACAACTAGTCCATGATCTAGGTCTCTGTTTCCACTTGTATGTTCTGTTCCATGGTCTGTTTGGTCTGTTTTGTTTTGGAACTGTTCTGTACCTGAGTCCACTGTAATTGCTGGACTGGAGGTTTCTTCAGGTGCTGGTTTATTTGTTGTTGGTGTCACAGTTGTTGTCTCATTTCCAACATCCAAGGCATTAAATAACATGTCAGGGTTACTCAGAAAAAAGTCAATAAAATCAGCCTCTGCATTCCCTAGGTCTTCTGTTGTAATTTCAAATGGTAATTGACCTGTGAAATACAGAACATTGACATTTAAATCAGATGTTTATGTTCCCAAGTGGTGAAACAGATTTCAATTTAAGTTTTAGGTTTAATAATAAGAGATTTTGATTATTACCTTTTTAAGAAAAAAAAAGTTGAATTTTCAAACTTACTGTGACTTGTTGCTAGGGTTGAAATATAGACACATGTACAAAGAATCCAGCTTCTTCTCATTTTAAAACCTTTAAAAAATTTGAGACATTGAGTTAAGATTTGGAATCAACTTATATATTTTCATTTATATGAAAATTAATTTGTTTGAAAAGTAATATAGTTTTTAAATAAATGTCTTCAATCATTAAATGTTTAAAAAGATTTGAGAAATTAATTTCATGTGAGAAAATTTAAAATAAAGAGACACCTTACCTTGTTATGTGATTATAAGCTCAGAGATTAAACTAATGATCAAACTAAGCTTTTGTTACTTCTGAGGACGGGCCTATTGGACTGTGACGTAAACTGTCATGCTTACGTTTATTTGGTTTTCCTTGATGAATAATGATTAATGAAGGTGTTATTTCATTGTCAAAAATACTGCACATACAGCTCTCGGAAGTGAAGGAATTAATGGTCAGGTTACCTGTGCCCCACGCATATTTCCGATTAATAAACATGTAGTAACTATTTCAAATTTCCAAAAATCTACCAACCTATGAAAATGTAAATGAGTTGAATTTAAATATGTTTACCTGGTTTTGATTGATAACTGTTATCTTTAAATTTTTTTTAATCTTGGAGTAGAAATGCATGAAAATTTTCATGTCAATGAGTTAGTCATTTCCAATGTTTTATCGCTAAATGCAGTATCTGAATTTTCATGAATAAGCCTGAAAAATGACAATAAGTATAGAATTGTTATCAAACTAAATGAGAGAACTTTGTATAAATTATTTGAAAGCTGCAAGATTCTTAAAATAATCTATTAAAGCTAATAAATATTAAATAGTTTTTCCTTCTATTGTCTATAGATTTCCAGGATGACATTGGACAACATGTTATAGTATTAAAGGAGTTCCTGGCGAGTCTAGAAGATACGGTGGATGGCAGTGGGTCAGGTAGGTCACAAAGGTCACAAAGGTCAAGTTGACTTATTTCTCAAAATATTCTCTTTACACATGCCTGATTAATTTATACACTATATGATATAAAACAAGAACAGCAATCTCATTATAGTTTGAAAAATTCAGTATTTTTTTTATACATGATTATTTCCCACTGGCAAATCTTGATTGATTTTTCTTTAAATTTATTTATTTATTTTTTTGTTAATTTTACTATTAGCTTACCTGCACCAGGATGCATAAGTGAACTTTTGAAATGAAAGTTAGTTTTTGTCCTCAGTGAGATCTTATATAACTTCTTCCCAAGGCTTAATTAAACTCATCCTAAAATGTCAGCTTTAAGTCAAGGCTGTGATGAAGGGAGTTAAAAATTGTTAAATTGATGAGATCACATGTCAGTGAAGGGCTGAAACCTATACTTGGGTCTTAGGGCAATTTAGCATTGAGGAAATTTTTCTATGACAGCACCTTCTGTGACACATTAGAGATGTGCGATTTTATCGGTATACCGGTATATCACGATTTTTTGTTGCGTGATACATATTGTGATATGGAGACCTGAATACCGGTATTTAGGTACATATTATTAAGTCCAGAAGTTATTCATTTATTTGTTCAATCTTTCAAATTACAATATAGAAAGTCTAAAAAAAAAAGTTGTAAAAGGTGAAAAGAATAGCATCTTGCCATCCAAACATGACTAATTTTATGTACATAAAAATTTCAAAAAAATGAAATTTTGTTTTTACTACCATATTTTTAAGAAAAATAATAACAAATCATTAAAAATCAATGTAAAAATTGATTGTAAAAAATATCATGATATTTTGAGAAAAAATCGTGATATATTGCGATATAAATTTTTTGGCGATAACCCATCCCTATGACACATGACCTCAGAATATACCTTTTAGTCTTATCAGTAGGAACAGTCTCAGTGTCCTGCACTGGGATTCAAACCCACATATTTTGGCAACTAAATTATCAAATTATTTGTACATTACTTTAAAGTGAGTATTGTGGCCCATGGGTCTTTTTTACAAGTCTGATACGCTAGTATCTTAACAGCTGATAGTGACATTGATGTAGTTGTAATTATCAGAGTAAAAGTTTGATTTTAAATCCATCTTCTTCCTTCATTATACTGTGCTGACAGTGTTGAAAATCAATTTTTGATAAAGTGGTTAACATTACTGAAAAGAGCTATTCCCTTATTAGCATATGTTTATGTTTGAAACAAAAACATTTTTACATAGGTTCAGTTTAATCAAAACAAACCCGGCCATTGTCCAGCACTAGGTAAATTTTGCAGACTTGGCATTTAGAACTGTCAGAAGTCCAAAGACTTAATTAATGATTAATTTTGATAGAAAGCTTTAAACCCCAGAAATATGAGTTTATAGTATGAACATCTCGGTATTACATTCACCAACTCTACTAGGATTTTTCTAGTTGTAAGTATAAAAGGTATTCTGAATTCAAAAAAAATTTGAAATGTACAGTATGTAATGTGTGTGGAGATGGGTGGGGGTGGAAAAGTAAAATCATACTTTATGCACATCAGAAATATAAACACCCTGTCATTTCTAATTAAAATAATAAATTGTAAGCAAAATAACCTAGGTATTGGTTTTAAACTTTTTTCAAAAGGTCAAGGTGATTGGGTAAAAATTTTAAAAATATGTTAATGGTATGATTATGAAAAAAGTTTAAATTTTATGACAGACAGACAAATGGATCAACAAATATGATTCAATGTCCCAGAGCTTTTGCAATGACAGGGGATAAATCACAATACTGCATAATAAATATACTTGGATATTGTATAATTGATTCCATATTGTTTGTAATCACTGCATCAATCATTTTAAAAGTTAATTTATATACAGACAATAGTGAACCCCCAACTTGACCAATTTTAGGTATTTTGACTGACCTTGGATTGATGTATGTGGCTGCCAAGCTTGGCTTTGATTGGACCTTGGTGGTCAGTAATCTTGGTTTGAAGCAAGCAGAGATTGAACAGATACAGATGGACAACCCATACAAAGTGATACACATGATCAGTATTGCATTACAAAGATGGCGGGACAGACAAGATGGACAGTCTGACGAGGTTCTTCTTCAACAACTGTTCAGTGCGCTGGAGAATTGTAATCGCAGGGACCTGGTGGATGAATTACGGCAGAAATACAACATACAAGGTTTGTTCCACTAGTTATAATCAAATATGATTATTACCTTTAAAAATCACTTACTATATGTAGTAAAAGCAAATTTTTTTTTGTGTTATTGAAATTTATGATAAAGCTGTACATTGTATTTAGTTGTTTATATAATTAGTACAAATATGACAAATGCTGTGTTAGATTTTATCAAAAATTTCTTTAAAAGTTTTTAATTCTTTGCAAGAACCAAGTTTTAATAACATTTTCCTTTCATTTTTAGAAGACAACCCCAAAGAAGATTAAACTATGAAGAAGATAGTTCAAGGTTAGGAAAGAGCACTATGAGGAAAAGACAATTTTTATGAACGCATGTTTGTTGTACATAAGCAGTAAAATTTGCTCAAAAGGAACTTGGTTTCAAAGAACATAATTTCAATGACTAACAAAATTCTGTCAGTAATAAAGGGCACAATTTTACAAGCCAATAGTTTTAAAGATGAAAGCATGAGGAATTTATCTTCATCTTTACATCTTAATCAATTGTTTGTTGCAAACTTTGATTACAGGATTTTAAAAACATTAAATATATGCTTTTAATTTCATGATGTTCTTGCAGAAGTAATTTTCTCTGTATGAATTTTGGAAAATCTTAGAAGCAGCAACTTTTTTAACTTACCTGAACTGAAAGCTGAAGTCAGCTTTTGTGATCATTTTTTATCCATCGCCCATCCGTCTGTAAACTTCTCACGTTTTCAACTTTTTCTCCCAAATTACTGTTTTGTTAAAATGATGACGCCAATGATAGGGTTGGGACCGCAGTGTTGGATAAAGTTTTACTTTCATGTCAGAAAGCATAGGAAAAATGTGTAGAAATCCTTTTCTCAAAAAACTACAAATCCCTGTTTTGTTATGTTGATCTGAAAGCATCATAATGTTGTATAGATTCTAGTTTGTTGAAAACAATAATAGGAGAAATAAATGATCTGATAAAGAACAGCAGTGTAATATATTGATTCAGGTGAGCTTTGTGGCCCATGGACCCCTTGTTTACAGTATTGTAATACAATTGTATTTTCAATTTTTCTGATTGTTCTTTATTTATGAATTCATTAATTTTTTTTAATTTGTCCATATTATGTATTATGGAGATAAACTTTTGCAAATGTCTTGGAAAATATGTGCAATACTTAGATTTCTTTATCTAAATGTTTTTTTTTCTTGCTACTTTGTAAGGAAATCATGACTTTAAGAGTAGCAGAAAGTGTGAAACATATTGATTTAATATCACAACAAAGAGAAATTTTAAGACACAGTCAAAGTGATTGAGATTTGTTTAATACTGGGGGTTGTGAGTGGTATTGTCATTGGCAAACAACCTATTGATGCAGTATTTATAATTAATGTATGTACATTGTAAATCATTACATTTGACAGAATGAACTCATTTGAATGTTATTCATATAGTGATTCCTTAACAGTGTTGTTCCAAATGTATTTGTGAAAAAAATAAGCTCATTTGAATGTAATTCATAAACTATTAGTGATAATTTTACAGGCATGTCTAGTTGTGACTTGCACCCACTAGTATATTCATCATAGAAAGTTGATGTATAATTATATGGTGGTGTCATTGCTTAAACTGTTGCAAATTGTGAAACTGCTTTGAAATTTATCTCAATATTTATCTCCTTAAAAACGGAAAGTAATTTATCTTTTTACTCTTCATGAAAAGAGTATTGTCAAACTTTTTTTCATATGGAGATTTCAAATTCAGCAATGTTTATTAATTATATTTAAATTCTTCTCAGAAATTCATATGTGAAAAAATAATATTATAGTTTATGATATTATAAAAATGGTATTATAAGTAAAGCAATTAATAAATTTAATAATAAATGAAATTGATGTAGTTTGATATTTATTTTCGATATTAGAATGTTTAATAATGATTTGTCTCCACTTTGATTCATTGGCCAGCAGCAGTTATTGCTTTCTAATGCCATGATGGTAAAGAGTGCTAAAAGCAGGGCAGTATTTTGAGCTCAATCGGTGATTAGTCTGAATTTTTCCTGATGCTACCAATGTATCAATTTTAAGGTACCTAAGCAGAGGATAGTTCTAAGTAAAGTAAATCTCTTTATTTGAGAGAGGAAACATCAGTGAAGAAGACTCTGATGCCACTTTATGACTGCTTTTGAAGAAGGTTAAAGTTTCTCAAGTGCAAGTCAAACTTCAAGGTCAAAGGGGGGGGGGTGAAAAAATGTTGCCAAATAAAAGGATATTCTCAATGAATACACCTATGATATATGAAGCCCCAAACACTAACAATTAGAAAGTAATGGTCAAGGTTAAAGTTTTTTAAAAATGGGTTAAACTCAGGTCAAGGTAAGTAAGTTAAATGTATTTTTTTCCTTGGATAGGTCTTATCACACATGTGAAGTATGAAATCCCTACACTAGCACCAACTTTTCAAAAAATTATGGAAAATGTTTAAAGTTCAGTAAATTCTTGCAAAGGTCAAGGTCAAATATGTTGATACCTAAAGAAAAGCCTTGTCACAAGAAATACACATGTGAAATATGTCAGCAATTTTTTAGTTGTCACAGTGAAGAGGAGATAACGAACAGTATTCAAGCTCAAAAATCCATAAAACAATACAAAATTGCGGAGCAGACACGAAACTCCAAAACATCAGATATGAGATCAGATGCCATGGAGGAGTGAGCAGCCCCTGCCGACTGGTCACACCCTCCGTGTGCTCCTTGTCATGATCAGAGAAATAACGGAAAAATCAGTCGTCAATTCAGTTTGTAAACAATGGCCTAACAATTAGTATGAAAACGTCACATATTTTGACTTAAGGAATGAATTTAATAGCTACCCATTTTATACGGTATAAACTGGGTTGGGGCAAGTTACGCTTTATAAAAAAGCGTAAACTGTTCCAACCCAGTTTATACCGCATAAAATGGGTAGCTATTAAATTCATTCCTTATAATTTAATTTTCATTCATTTGACGTAAGAAATAAAGATGACTGTTCTAACAAATTGACTTCAATTTGTACAAAATTTAAATGTAACGTCAGGCGGATTGATACGTTTTTGACGCAAGTCATTGTGACGTAGGCAACCCATTTTATACGATATAAAATAATTTTTTATCCAATCAAATACATCGTTACAACCAGAATTAAATTATTCAATGATAAATTGCAGTTGCTGAAAAGGCCATTGTATCGACTATAGAACTTACGAAATGATGACTTTAAATGAGACTGCTGACATTTTTGTTTCACCAGCTTGTTTGTCAATAATTTACCTTTTTACAATTTTAGATATTGTACATAGGTAGAGCTTGCTCTTGCGTGTCGAATCAACCGAGAGATATAAACCCCGTATTCAGGTGATGAAGGTATATTGCTTCATAAGTAAGGGAAGTTGACGATTGAAAAGTTAAAGTCATCACGTTTATCATAGAGCTTGGTTGTTAGATTGCCATTTACGTCTTTTCAAGTTTATTTGAAGGTGAATAAAGAACAAGGTTCACTTTTGCCTTATTTGGCCCTGTGAATTTCTGAAAAGCTGAAACTGCATAGTTTTACTTCACATTGCATTAAATATCACTCAGATCTTTGGTGACTGCATATCTATCAAAAATGACGTCATTTTCTGGCTAGTCAATGTATTATGACGTCACGAATTGCGTCAATTTCCTCATATTCTGAAAAAGTCTACTAAAACGGCCAATTTTTTACGCTATTTTTTGATATTTAATGTATAGCGCAACCTCTGATCTATAATATACGAATAGTAAATGATAGAACTGTTTCTGAGGATTATTGGACATGTTTTATTTTTTAGATCAGAGAGTGTGCTCATATAATTTTTCTTCACTGAAAGTACTCAATTATACCTGTTTACCTAAAAATTCAAGAACATTGCAATTTCATAAAGCCAGTTCTCCAAGACCTGAACTTTTAGAAGATTTTTTTTAAATAGGATATGAAAGCACCAAGTGTCTATTTTATTTTAATGCTTCAAATAGAAAATCAAGTGTTGTTCAATTAATTGGTATATCTACAGGGCCATTTTATGCATAAAGTGAACCGACTTTAATAAAGATGTGATCTTTTTTTTCAAGTGAAAAGACCAACAGAAGTAGGGATAAAAGGGGGTGACAGGTATAATTTTACCAATATTCATTTATAATTACATAACATATATGTAATTAAAAAACACATTTATTGCATAAAGTAACGAGGAAATAATAATAAATCATTGATGACATAATTTGAATTTTGAATTAAGAAAACGTTCCCTCACAATATATTAATTAAGCGGATATTATAGGAGTAAATACGTTTCCTTTCCTGTATTTTATACATTAATTAAATAATCATAAGTTCATTTGATATGTACAATGTACATGTACATGCAAAAGAGACTGCTGTTAAGATTTTTGTGATGGCCAATCTATCTCAAGAGTTTTCTGAAATATTGCTGCCGGGCACCATATTCATTACAACGACAGGGACTTTAGGAGTCTTTGGGAATATTATAGTTATCGTCTTGTACTGTTGTAAAGTGGAGGACGAAAATGGAGACAGATACTTTATTCCTTTTCTAGCATTCATTGACATGTTGGGATCTATTTCGATGACAATTTTCAATGCGATATCAAATTATTTCTTTTTCAGCTATCCGTCGGAAATATGTTGTAAATCACTTAATTTTTCACAGATGTTTAGCGGCTTCCTTTCTGCATCTCTTTTGTTGGTCATTGCAGTACAGCGGTATAGAAAGGTATGCCACGCAGACCATGGTCAGTTGACATTGTTCTGGAGGCGGTGTTCTATTTGTTTAACTGTTTCCATCTCGGCCTTTATCATGTCTCCTTGGCTCATTTTCTCGGGGACATTTATGACCTCTGTTCAATTTCAAGGCCAAAACGTCACAGGAACCATTTGCAAGTTCGTAAGCCATAACGTCATCCTTCACTACCATTCAATAGTGTTTTTATATTTTGGATGTATTTACACGTTGACTATGGTCATCCTTGTTGCGCTTGTTGTACTTTATGCCCTCATTGCACTAAAATTAAGGAAAGTTTTCCAGAAGACAGGGACAGAATGTGAACCACTCTGCAAAGAAACTGGAGAGAATGTTGATTCCAGTTCAAAACATACCACAAATACGGACGTACGGACGTGGTTTAACTTGATGTATGCTACGATTGTTATAGTGTATATAGTGTCTTTTGTTCCCTCTGCTATGCTGCTGATTGTGGCGTACTCCCATGTTAACTATCTGAATTTACCAAAATCCGCCTTGAATGCATATCTGATTTTTGGGCGTTTTGTGGTCATAAACCATTTTGTGAATCCATTTATATATACTTGCTTTGATTTTAAATTTCGGAAAGCACTCATCAGTGTTTGTCAGTGTAAGAACAAAACACATGTTTGATTTTTAAAATTTAAGATTTGTTTACCTTTATCTGAATAAGTATATTTATTGAAATTTCTTCTAAAATACAGCTCCGAACACTTTTTAAGCTCACATGGCATATGTCCTGAAAATAATTATCTTCAGTTTTCGAAGTCGATGTTTTAAGTGGACATAATCAATAAGTGGTACGATGTAACATCTGTTTAATTCTACCAAAGGTGTGTTCAAATTGAAATTATCGAGTTTTCTTTATGACTGTTTAGTTGAAGTTTTCAAATTGTCTCTTTAAAGATGAGTATTTTTTCTTGCTCATTTACCATACTTAGTTAGTTTTGTCGAAATAGAGCACCGGAAAAGTTCAATGCTGCAGAGATAAACCTTGCCAAAAGACAGGATAATGAAGCATTGTTCACTTTTAAAATAGTAAATATTAATTTTTTTAATATAGAAAGGATTTTTTAAAATTTAATACATTTACGGATTGAAACTTTGAAATTTATTTCTCATGATGCTAAATTTCAGAAAGTAATTAACTCCGAAAAAATGTTAACTTTTTCACAAGGAAAGCAGTCGAACAGATGCGAAAGATTGCTATTGCCTTGAGCTTTAAAAGAGTACAGAAGTGTCTTTCACTATAGTTAACAATTTTCAATTGCTAATGAGTACGTACATGGCTATTTGTTTAGCCATGTACTCATTGGCAATTATTGAAAATTGTTAACTAGTGAAAGACAGAAAGTACAAGTTACTGGAGATGCACTGTGTTTAGGCAAGGCAAACTGGACTGCAACACAGATACGGCTGCAGGTGGGGAGAAACCATAAAACCATCCATTATAGAGAACTGTTACATTCTATCATCCTAGAGCATATCAAAGTCCTTCAAATATAATGTGTGAATGAAATATATTTTTGTCAGTGAATAAAATGAAAGCTAATTTAAACATTCACTTTGAGAATATATTTTGTTGTCTCGTTAAGCAATTTTGCATTGTTATAATGTGACGTTAATTTGTGCGAAAAGCCATGTGGGTGTTAAAAGTGCGCAGAGCTGTACGTATCTTAAAATTGTGTACCTATATATGCATTTATCTGTATACTGCTTTGATGATATTACTTTTTGGTCTAAGCTGTAGTAGATTAGACCCCCCCCCCCCTTTATGTTTGCACGTCTCATCTTTGAAATGTACCTTATCGTTTTTCAGAATATAACTCAAAATTGAATTGTTATAAGGTCAGACAAAACTTTCCTCAAATTATGTATTTAATTGTTACTCTTCGTAATAATTTAAAATAACAATTTCCCAGTATTATAATAATTATATCTTGAATCATCTAATATTTTTGTCAAAATAAATATTTTAAGGCAATTAGAAACAATACTCTTCTCGTATCGACATTTGAATTGATTCTACTTAAGTT